GTCTACTACCTTGAAAATTTGTTTAGGAGCAATGTTTTATAAAGGGTTTAATTGGGGAATTGGTGGTTTTGGTCAGCTGTCAGTTTTGAAGAAACCTAGAGAAAGCTATATCAGCTAATGAATCATAATCATTGGCCTCAGAAGGAATTCAAACCCTTATTAATTGGGTTTCCAAATTGAAAATTTAGGGCCCCAAAAAAAGTTAGCATTATTCAGGAACCATTTTTCAAACATGGGGTCTGGAATAATTTTGGAAAAATTTAGCATTATAGAGGGCCCATTTACTAATCAGCATCCAACATTACTAGTAGTACGGCCAGGAGCCCCTAGTAGCTTCTTTGCTCCTAGTAGCGATGCCCTTTGCTCCTAGTAGCGTGGCGCAGAGCTCCAAGGAGGTGGCGATTGCCATGCTCTTGACCGCGATTTGGACCGCTTCTCGGGTCGCAAGGAGTGCCGTACGCGTTCCGTTTCCGACGGTGGCGTACTGTACCCCGGTTATAGGAGAAAACCACAAACGGTTTCACATGGTTTCACATACAATTCTTAGGGAGAAAATCACAATGTTCGATCCTTAAGGGTCGCTAGATGCTTGTGTGCTTGAACCAGCTTGAACCTTTATAGACCCTATATAGTGAGCATTTCCAAGATGGCAGAGGAATCTTTGTTTTTTTTTCCTGTGGTTTGGTTTGGACACTTGCATTTGCCATCGGTCTACCTCCGTGGCTTCGTCAGAAAAACCACGATTGATGCAGAGTCAGCAGCGAGAGCCCGTCCCTTAGCGTCGTCACCACGGCGAAATTGGTGCGGAAGGTTCTGTATGGGTCTGAGAGATGTCCAAAGTACACACGACAAAGCTTTGCTGGAAGAAGAGTCATCGACATGTGGCCAATCAATTTGGGCCCAACTTAGGCTCACATCCGCGAGTTTCCGATCTGTGGCACAGTGAAGCCGGTGACGGCCGATCAACGAGAAGCTTCTTGAGTCCAGACGTGACTGTCGATGGCGGGCACGAGTTCAGACCAAAGAGCAGTCAGCCTCCGTGTGCCGCAAAAGGAGAGTTGGCACAAACCAAATGGGTTTGGGCTCAAGGGGGGCGACTGCACAAAACAATGGGTTGGTTGATGTTGGTTGTCCATCTTTTTCCCGTTTGCCACAGGATGCAGAACAAAACCAGCAGGACTGAGTCGACTCTTTTTCCAGGGCTTGGGGACTTGCTCTTGGGTTCCAAGGCTTGATGTTTCCGCTTTTGACCGGATTCACCGAATCCGATGATTTCCAGCCTTTGTACCCCCCGAAACTAATGGGTTTGCGCTTTGCCGGTTTGCGTTTGGCAGTCTACAGCACCAAAGACTGCTCCAATAGGTCAATAGGTTTGCTGGATCTCCATTTTGAGGTTCGTAAGTTTCATCTCCTTTTCCTTCCTCCAGGCGCTGCAGGGGGTCTTTGTCTCCATACTTTCAGCATCCTTCAGCCAACACAGTGCTTCGCTGCCTGCAGGTGATGTGAAGCCGAAGCCCGAGGTTGTTGAGGTCGCACCAAGGGTGGCAACACGTGCAGTTGGGTGGGCAGATGAGTAGAATGTGAATGGATGTGACGTTCTCCTACCCCATCAGCGGATAACCTTTATATAAGCTTTTTTGATCTTTTTGGGGGATTGGTTTCCCCACTACAAGGAACCACATCAGCAAAGCAGTGATGTGGTACCTGATGCATGTCCCTGTTCTGATCCTGATCCGTTTCTGATCCTGATTTTAGCCTGCCAGGGATGTACTTTTTGGGCATACCGGACGAGACGTTCTCCATCCATAAGAAGGGTATGTGATCCAACGAAGTGTTGTTTGGAGTTAGCCATGCAAGAGAGTTTCCAAAGAAGCTCACACCTCTCACTCACAGCTCCCACCCTCAGGATGCTTCGCGCGATTCTAGGGGTACAACTCACCGTAAGCAAGCACCGACTTGGCTCACTTGATATCGTTGAGGTGAGGTGGAAGAGTACCTCAACATGTAGGTAGAACAGTGCGTGTCGACGAATTGATGAACGCTTAGATTCCTGAAATCACCACCTCTGGCACGGTGCCATGAACATATTAGCCATAGACATCTTGCAACTAGTTTCAACCCTGGTTGCAACCTTTCACCCTAGATTTATAAACTCTGACTCAGAATCAAATATTTGCGCCGAGCCATTGTTCGGGAGACCCATAGACCCTGCCAGGGTTTTGTAGAACCTCTCATATTTTTCAGGTGAAGGGGCATAAATAAGAGTTTGGTTCTTAGTTTGGTTCCTACCCAACTCCTGCACAATCCCGCAAACACGCTTTTTCATGTTCTATTCTTGTATCCAGCACAGAAAGCAGGTGCCTTCCGCACGTGTGGACACCTCCGTGCCCTTGACGAGAGGCACGTTGACGTGTGTGGCCCGCCTGTTTGTAGCCCCTAATAGCTTCTTGTTCCTAATAGCTTCTTGCTCATAGTAGTAAGGCCAGGAGCCCCTAGTAGCGTCCTTGCTCCTAGTAGCGATTCCAGGAGCCCCTAGCTTCTTGTGCCGAGTCGAAGTTCTGTTTGTCTTTCCCCGCTGGCCATACAGACAGTCAGACTGTGGACTCTTGCTGTTACTTTCTCTTGGCCAGAGAAGTACTTGCCGTCAGAGGCCAAACGGTGAAATGAACCGTTGGAGCGCTCCAAAAATTCCAGTTCCAAGCTGCTCGGTGTTCGGTGTTCGGAGTTGAACCTGGTGATTCGCTCTCCTCGCACAAACAGTGTGGGGGCAGAGGTTCGTATGTACCGATACCAGGGCTTCGGTGCCACAGCAGGTTTACATGGTGTCGCAAGCTGTGTGTGTATGGGTGAAACCATGCGTGAAAGAACCGATGTTAAGTGAAACTTTTAGGACAGCTGAATGCCTGAATGGATTGAATGGAGTTTGGAAAGTCCTTTTCCGGAGTTCAAAAGGACAGATTCCCTGCTTAGAACAGGGGACCATTTCCATTTGACTCATAAGTCAGAGATATTCGCATTGATTGTCGATCATTTTCCTGAATTCATGTTTTCCTGATAAGTTACAGTTACTGCTCGACCCCGGCGTCCAGGCAATTCCAAATCCAGCACCGGCGGTTGGCATGCTGACGGGCGCTTGGCAGCGGCGGGGCGGTTGGCCCGAGGCTGCAAAGCTGTGCGTGTTGTGCCGGTCATGCAGAGATGAACACTGACATCTGAGTGAACAGACCAAGGACCAAATGACCCAGTTTCGTGTTTTAGATCGTTCACTTCGAATGACCAGGAAGAGCGGGGAGCGTTTGACAGGGTTTTTTTGGCTCTTATAACCAGCAGTGATCTCCAATGTGAGTCCAGGTCTTAAAGTGATAATAGGGAAGAAGAACATAGAGATAGAGTCAAGAGGCAATCTTTGTCCATTGTTCTTTAATCATGTCAGTGTTTGTCTCGTTGACCCCAGTGTTGAAGATCCGTTGGTAGTGTTTCTATGCGTTCGTGGTTGAATGATGTTCATTCAGAGGTCGGAGATTCTGATAGACCGTGGAGTTTCTACATGGACACTGAATGGCGCAGTGGGTTCTAGTGGATGATTCTTGATTTGCTGCAGGTTGCCAGCCTCGCTCGGAACAGCAGGCCCGAGTGGGGGTGGGGCTGTGGGATCAAGAGAACGAGGCATTTTGCTTTACGTATTGTCCACTTGGCCAGAAGGGGGAATCTCAGATTGCTACCGACAGTGGTTCTACTTTCCCCTAACTTCTTCTCAGTATTGCTTCATATTGCTTCAACAAACAACAAAAAGGACCTAGACTGGCAGTTTATGCCTGGAAGCTGACTGGTGGAGCTCCAACACCAGCCAATCACTCTGGTGATGGACATGATATCAGCTTCAAAGAATCAAGTGCTTCAGGGGTTAGGGTGGACCCAGGGTGGATAGGCAGTGGATAGGTTTTCCCATCAAGCTTTCGGTCGCACCGTCAGATGCCAAGCTACAATTGCTGCGCTTGTAAGGCAGCCATGTCTGCCACGCTGGGCACCACTGGGATCGTGGAGGCGCACGAATAGACGTCTTGCTGAAAGTCAGAGCGAAGAAGCCATCAATCTAGGCAACCTAAGAATCTATCTCTAATAACTATAATACATACTGTAATGGATATATAGTATACCGTTTATGGCACAGAAACGGTTTGGTTCGGATCCTTTCACAGAACCCTCTCATACGTGGCCCAAGGGGCCCAAGGTGCAAGGGTTTTATACGTGCTGGGGTGCTTCTTTCAGCTTGGTCCAATTTCATTGACCAGTTTCTCTTGAAACACTCGCTCCACTTGGAACCTCAAAAAGACCCTTGATTTCGCTGTTTCGTTGAAGCGGAACGGATATTGGATCTCTCCTTGGCTTGATTCCTTTGGTTTACAATGGCCGAGGTCAGGTTGGTCGGCTTCTTTTAAGTATTTGTACATCCCAACCAGCACCCACCCTCCAACAGGTCACCGAGCTGCAACTTTAAAGATCTTTTTGGTAGATATACAAACAAGGCCTCCAGAAGAGATCCATTGGAGGCTTTTTGTTATAATAGATTTCTTTCACCGGCTCGGGCCTCAAGTAAATGTCTGCACTTTAATAGCTAACTTGTTGGAACTTTCGTCAATCAAACATTCTTCTTCTGATCTGTCAGGGCGATATTCCTTCATCTCCATCCAAATCCAGGCATGCTGCTGGGTTTGTTCTGGTGTCTAGGTGTGAGCGGCCAATTGCATTCGCCGGCCATTCCCCACAAGTCCAGTTTCCCTCCAAGGTGCTTTCGTCCCGATCCACCAAACTATTTTGCAGTGTTGCGTGAGGAGGGTGTAAAAGAAACACAACTTTAGGTCTTGCAGTGTAGATCCCTTGGATGGTTGCAGTTGCAGGCAAACACCGGCAGAGAGATCAGGTGAACGGCCCATGAATCACTCCTGAAAGGGTGTCGTCCAGGGTTTGGCACACAAGTGAGTTAAGCTCAATGGCACAATAGGTTTCCTTCGCAACAAAAAGCAGACGAACGCTGCTCAAGCATTGTGAAGCCTTGTGATGTGTTTGCCCGTGCTACTTGGTGATTTCGTCAGGAAGTGCCAACTTCCCAAAGCCGGATCACCAGCAGCAGGGCCAAGCGGGATTTGCACATATTTGCACAGTCTGCATGTTTGGGACCTGTCCGGTTGTGAGGGTGCCACAGGGACTCTCAAGCTAAGTTTCAATCGTTCAAGTGGATAGCACGGCCCTTGCAAGACGGTTTGAAAAAACAGGTTTGTTGGAGGATACATAGGACTATCGTTGCGAAAACAGATTCATCGTTGGCTGTTGTGCTCTCACGCTTTGGCTCCTGTACATGTCCAACAGCCCGACAGTCGGACCCTAATTTGGGACATCTCAACCTTTTGGGGCCGCAGGGGCATGCAGGGGCCCTGCCAGGGGACTCCAGGTTTTCGGTTTGTTTTGCAAGATGTGCCGAAGTTATGGTTCGACCACTTGTGAGCTTGCTTTCTGCTGTGCAGAGCAATGCGTCGACGACGACGATTTCCTCTGTTTGGGGGGAGGAAGCGGAAACGGGTCCATCCCAACTTGTCGAGCAAGCTAGTATTGGAGCTTTGAAGACTTTCATTTCACAATCGTGGACAAACCAAAAGAATCAACTGAACACGTAGGGACATAGAAACAGAAATTGCGAATCCCGCTCTAAGGGCATGGAGGGGAACTTGCGCATTGCGAGCATCGAACAGTTCCTGCAGAAAGGCATGGGATGGTTGGGGTGTCCGACAATCGAGCCGCAACAGATACTGCTTGAACATGCTTGAACTAAAGGTTTGCATCAAAAGAACACATGGTTCCACCACCCTCGGGGTCCCACGGGTTTGATATGATCACCTCGCAGGCGGGGTCCGCTCCGTCCGCCTCCGCATTGGTCTGGGTCCGCATTGAGACCTGGTGGATTCTTGGAGACGTGATGACGATTCTCTTCGTGACTCTCCTCGGTGATCTGGTCGTTAATCGGACCTTTTCGTGGTCTTCCTTTGGTCCAGCACCTGGAGTTCGAGAGTCTGTCAGGGATACAAGATATCATCTCAGGAGCATTTCCACCCAGACCAGGGCAATTGCCAGATATTGCCAGATCAGATTCTGCTTCGCCAGATCAGTGTCTAGGATCAGATTCTAAAGGAAAGAATGTTAGAGAACGACTGTGTGCAGTGCTGCTGTCTTCAGGTATACAGGGTGGGCACGGTCGGGACGGTCAGGATGGTCGGGATGAGATGGAGATCAGGGCGGGGATGGTCGGGATGGTTGAGGTGGGTGGGCTGCAACCAGGTGGATCCTGCTCATACGATTCCGATCCGACCAACACCCATTAGACCACAGCAGTGTTCCCCACAGGCCGAGGTCTTCAGTACTAGACTCCCGGAAGTACCTGTAGAACCCATGGTCGTACCCTCAGAGATAGCATGAGAGGTCAGGTGCAAAGTAACTAGCGTAGTTTGGGTCGAATGTCTCTGCCTGCAAGTCCAGCACACCTGTACTGGGCCCCCACAGAAATGAGGCCTGATATCTTTGTGGCTGATTCAACCGACCAACCTTTGTATATATCATCCTCCTTCAGCTAACTTGTAGCCCTTTCGTATTTGTAGCCCCTTGAAAAACACAACCGACCAAACTCAGCGGATGAAACAGTCGAAAGAGCGGCTGATTTCCTTGAAGCTTCCTGGTTGGCTTCAAGAGGCTTCATGCAACCATTTTGAGAGAGTTCAATCTTCAAACAGTAGTATGGTATATCCATTCATCTATAAAATATATATGTATATACATGATTTGTTGTTTCAAAATATGCCAGATGACCAACACACGTCCGACATTCAATGGAAATACCCCATTGTATGGTGAACGTGAACAGGTTGACTCCCCTGCCGGTGTTGGCAGGCGACAACTGCTGGCGCGGCTGGGGCAAGCTTGGCAGGCGCAGCAAAAGCGCAAAAGAACATTAGCAGCTGACCTTTGGTGTATTCCCATTTGTCGATGATGATGGTTGGTATCAAAAGATCACATTTTACCAACTAACCACAAGTAGGAATGGGGCACTCTCTAAAGCCGACCCTTTCATACCTCCCTGATTTCTTTGACGGCTTCAGATTGGTGCGTGCACAGCGTGAGCGGTGCACGTTTCGGGTCCAGCAGCTTTGTACCAAGAGGGGTGTGCGGCGTCCACCCGCTCGCCTGGAACCGCAGTATACCACAGGCATGGGCCCGAGGTGACCAAACTAGGTAGGCACATCTAATGTTTGCAGTTCATTATCTAAGCAACGGCTGGCACAGTAATGTTGACAATTCCAACACCACTGAAGCGAACGAGCTGTGATTCCAATGTGAGGGTCAGCAGCGAGTGAGAAAGTGGTGTGCAGAACAAACGAAACAAACTTTCCCAGTCTGGGTAAAAGCACAGTAGTGCGACCCAAGCTTTGAGAGTGCATGTGAGTATGCAGTGAAGTGGGGCCACGAGGTGTGATCCACCAAACCTCGCTGTTTGGCACCCCACTCCACACTTTACGCCTGTGAAACCGGCTCATGCCGCTACGTTTCGGTCTTTGCTTCTTCCAGACGGATTGAAGATCGATAGGCTCCGATCAGCGATGCCCTTTGCTCCTACTAGTGTCTTTGTTACTAGTAGATACTAGTAGTAAGGCCAGGAGCCCCTAGTAGAATCTTTGCTCCTAGTAGCGATGCCAGGAGCCCTAGTAGCGCCTTGTTATATACTAGTAAGACAAAAGATAAATGCCTGTTTTGCCCGTGTAGGTCTCTAACTGCGTGCAGTGACTCCGTAAGAGTTTGCAAAAGCCAGACATGTGTGTCATGAACTTCTCGCTGCTTAGCCGTAGCCCGCCGAAGCACAACCAACCTGCAAGCGTGCAATCAACCAGCTCTTTGTTGCGGTGTAGCAGTGAGCTGAAGCAGCGCCAGCCTGCAGGAATGTAGGTCGCCAACACTTTGCCTTGAAGCGGTGTCGGACATGCAACCCATAGACTCCTTGCTGTGCTGCGGCAGAGAGCCGAAGCAGCGCCAACACACAAACAGTTCATGTGCCATCAGTGAGCTGAGAGGAGGCTGTCCAACAGAACTGTGGAGACTGGATGTCATGAGTCATGAGCAGCCAGCCTGACCAAACTCCATGGCAAAGCTAAGGGTGACGGATCTGCCGGCACAGCCATTGGGCACGTGGCTCATACCGCCGTGATGAAAGGTGTCACGGTCCATGGTTCCTGCATTGGAGAGGAGGTCAAACTCCTTAGTCAACTGAAAACGAGGCTTTCACTCAAGAGGGAGCGCATCCAGTTGAAGCAGGATAAGATGGGTTCCAAGAACCATCCCCTTCATATCAGGATCAAAAGTGGAACGCTCGTTTGGGTGTTGGGCACGAACAAAGGGAACTACATGGTTCCGACATTGAAAACACAGTCGATCCAGAGAGCTGCGTACCTTGCACATTGAAACCAAGAATCCTACGGTTTTGGGCAACCAATCCATGCTTTGAATAGGCATGGCAACTACTAGCGATTGACCACTTAGGTGCCTGGAAGCAAAAACATGTCCCTGACACATTTCGTCTACAAATCGCAAGCCAGCAGTTGCAGAGTTTCATGTGCCTCAAATAAGGTGGCAATCATTAGCTGTCTTCTGAGGTATTCTGCTATTCCTGCTTACCACTACTCTCCGCAGGTTCTGCTGAGGTAGCCCCAAGGTTCTGAAGTAGCCCCAACGTTTTGCAGGCCCGTCCCGTCCCGACCGCCGACATTTGCCAGGCGAACGCTTACGAAGCTGGAGGCAGACAACGAAGGGATGTGACTTCGTCACCCTGTCCCAGTGAAACGAAACAAATTTTGGTTGGAACTTTTTAGCGCAATAGCAGTAGATGATAAAAAGACGTCATTGAAGAGCAGGTCATATTGTATCATACTAGTCATTGTAGTCATATCTAGTCATTATTACTTTAGACCGGTCAACCTGATTAGGACATACGTGAGGAGGAGACCAGTTCTTTACCTTTGTTTGTTGGTTGGAAGTTGGAAGGTGAACACAGGTCTCAACCTGGGGATAAATACAGCCTTCCTGCGTTTTATCCACAGAAGACCTGGAGTTGTTCCTAAACTTGGCCCGAGGGCATGTGACAACCTGCCAATATTACTAGAGGTTTGAACTTAGGGGAACATCTCCACACGTCGCTGGCATGCAAAATCCAACATCCTCTATGGCTTAGAATCTCCCATTCTGACATGGTTTGGTTACACGTAACGGTTCAGCAGGGGTGCATTTCTTGACTTCATCAAGCAAAGAAACAATGACCAATCAAACGAATCTTCTTGGAACCGATGCAGATCCCTTTTTTTGTTCCTCGTCATTCCTCCACTCCGGTCCGACCGTGGCTCGGACTGAGCACGGCGAAATGCTCTCTCTTTCGGAGCATGAAACAAGAGCCGTCGTTCTCGCCGCAGGATGAGCAGTGCTGCCACGTCCTGCCCTTGTTGTGAATAGTTCAGCTGCCTGGCCAAGTGGGTGTGACAGTAAGGCTCAAACAAGCCTGTGCAGCCCATGCCCCTCAAAGTAGGTGTTTGAGAGTTTCCGGAGTGGTTTGTATACCGGGTGAACCACACATCCCCAGGACAATTGAACTTGCAAAGATATATCGAATGTGATTCTATCGTTCTTACGTTCTTTCTCGTCCAGACTCTTGTTCTATCAACCTCGCGAATGGCGACCAGGCTGGCCGGCTCCCGGACCTGGTGTATGCAAATATGGACCCCTGAGATCATTTCAGAGATGGGGACCCGACCTCTTTCTTAAACTCAGTTGGACATGGGATGTAGAAAAAGCCAGCTTTAGAACATGTTATAACTCATCTCTCTCTATACTGTATATATTATTGTTATTTTGCAATCCACTTCATTCCACTTCCATAGTGAGTCGAATGGAACTTGAATCAAGGGCGAACCCCTCAGAGGCCAGAGCAGTTTGGCCTGGCCCATCGTTTCACTGCACCGATACCGATGTTCACATCGGGTTCCGACCGCCACTGAGTTCGGTGGGGCTCAAGGCGTGGAGGAGAACTCGTCCCCAACCGAACTCAGACTGCTTCCCGAAGGGTTTGCGGAGTGAACGAACGGTTGGCGCTGCGGCCTGATGGCCAAAGGAGTGGCGCAGCAAAAAGCAGTTGGCAGCGTGGGGTCGAAGGGTCCAAGCACCGTTCATCACATCGTGTGAATTAACAAAAAGGAAACAACAAAGATTCTATAGCAATGGCCTCCAACCTACTAGCAATGGCCTCCAAGAGCGATGGCCTCCAACCTAATAGCGAAACATGAAGAGACATGGAGACTTTCCTTGCTGGACATTGCGCAAGGATGCGCAAAGTACAGTTGGGATGTGTTGTTTGTGTTTCTTGCCAGAAAACGGGTTGTCTGCCAACGTAGTTTGAGTTGAGTCAACATCGCCGGCGCTTCTACTGATTCAACCGCATTTCAAGCTTTTCTGGAATATTCATGCGGTGTAGAGTATTCCTCTTTATTCCTGGTCTTGTTCACTAAGCTATATGGCTGTACCAAACACAACTGACTTTCGGCGATGGGAAAGGTCCTTAGGTCCTTAGATCCTCTTCGATTTGGAGATCCGAAGGTGCATCGATCGTTCCTTCTGGCGCTCGGTGATCGCCGGAGCTGGGAGAGCTCCACACTGTCAGGTGGCATGTCTTGAGGTGGAGCAATGGTGGTGCCGCGCCCCCAACAAAAGGAAATAGCTTAAGCTTTCTCCCTGCATGCGAGCAAGGCAAAAAAGGACACCGGTGGCTATAGACGTATGGACGTAGTAGATCGTAGTAGATCAATGCCAATGTCCCACTTAGCAGGTCATGTTTTGGGATGTTTTGGGTAACCCTTGGTGTGCTTATGCACTGTATAGCTGAAAATAGCCTCAGCTACTACCGGTATGCTTACGCAGTTGGCCCGCTAGAGTGTTGCAGGGTTTGTCACAAGGAATTTGGTGACATAGGGATGCCACCAAAAAAGTTAAACAGAACAGGCTCGCTCGCTTGTTATTGTTTGCAATTATGCTTTCTGAATGGGACCTTTTGGTTCCGAGATTGCACTTCGCCAGGGTCAGGCAGCATAAAAACATACAGATGCCAGGTCACATGTATGTCTTCTGGCTTGCTGGAGGTGGTTTTTGAACCCAGAAATGATGTTTTGCAGTGCAGTGGCTGAACGCGCAACATGTTTGCATGATAGGGGGGTCACTGGTGTCAAATGAGGCTGGCTGAAGTGATTGCTTTTGCTTCTAGATTGATGTTTCACTAGGGTCAGGCAGCACAAATACACGATTGCCAGCTCAAAGCTGTGATCTTTTGATTGCCAAGGGTGGGATAAATGAATCAACAACTGCTTTTGCACGTGAGGGGCAACCAAACATTTTATCGCATCAGCAGCTCATCAGCAGGTTTGATCATGTGAAGTCAAGCTTGTTCAATGGGACCAAGATGCACCGCTTTCTTTCCCATTTTTCCGTAAAACACTGATGTCGTGATAACGTTCCGTGTGGTTGGAACGATCTGTTAGTCGGAAAACAATGTTGTGCCTGGGCTGAAGCTTACAGGGTGCATTTTGTTCCTAACGGAAGTAGCAGCAGAAGTCATGCAATCCAGAAAGAAGCTGTCGGGGGCCCGATAACGACCTTGCGAAGTCATGGTTGGAATGAAACAGAAATAGGTCGGGAACCTTGCTACACTGGTCCTAAGTTCCTAAGTATCCCTAATGATTCTAATTGCCATGAACTCTGGCCAGTATGCTATATTATATCCTGCTGTAGTTGGGTTCCCGACCTATTCCAACCTATTTCCGACCCATTCCCGACCTATACCTGTCTGGCCTGACCTATTCCGACCTATCCCTGACCTATTCCTGCTTTGTTCCAACCATGACTTCACAGGGTCTTTCTTGGGTCTCCGGCCTATTCCGACCTATTCAAGTAATATTTCATTGCTTAACGGGTGTGAAATTCAATGATTGAGACCCTGGACATCCAGCTAATCGAAATTGTTGGAACGGCACAGTTAAAGTGCAGCGGCACAGTTTTGGTATCATTCTAAAGTTTTGGAAAGCAAACAAGTTGAACACTGGCGCTTCCGTATTCGGCTTTACAAATTATTGTTACATCGTGAAACTATAATACACTACACTATCGACTCGACCAGCAATTGATGCCAGGTTAGTGGCTCAGTCACTTTCCATGATTCTCTGCGTCACCTTTATCAGACCACGCCGGCCACAGACTGAAGGCTTCACGACTATGAGTTACGTGTCTCACTCAGATGGAACATCGAACAACTCAATGAGGCCACGCGCCGTTTTACATTTTCCAACAGTTTACAAGTCCACTTTCTATTGCAACGTTGTAGTTACACATAGACAGCATATAAATCAACGCCAAATGCATATATACTTTGAGCTCGTCTTGGGAATGGCAGCCTGGCAGGAAAAAACCAGTGCGTTGCATGTTAGTCTATGTCGGTAGCTTCGCACAGTATCACCATAAATTCGCTATTGAATTGCAAAATTAGTCACCACCAAGGAAGAGACAACATGTGCGACTCCTCAGCCATCATGTAATGAAAATACACATTGTTTTTGGCTTCCAGCACCGCTGCTCGAAGAACTCTGGACACATTTTCCAATCATGGGAGAGTCCAAAGAAGGCTCACCAGTCTACACTGAATCCTGGCCGTCGAACTCAGCGCTGGGGCACCCAGACTGAAAGGATGTGAAACAAACAAGGTAGAGAAGTTACAACAAGAATCCAGCGCATTGGAACCAAGTTTTTACGACCGCTGCAGCCTGACGATTGCAGAGTTGCTGAGGCTGAATCTTGGCTCAGCAACTCCAACCGATTCTTCCTTTGTATTGTGCAAAATCCGGGCACCTGGCCACCCAGGCACTCTCCGACCGCCCCCGGGTTGGGCTTTGTACTTGTGGTCATCAAAACGGGTGCCAAACAAAAGAGTCACGAGCAACACATAACAACAATGCCACGCGGAATTTCGGCCACAGTACATCACGGGGCCACTGACTGAATTCCAGCCTTTGCATGGGATGAGCGAGTTTTCTCGGTCTCTTGCACCACTTTCTTCAGGCTTTTCACACCACCCACTCCCTTTTCAAGGTTTCGATAGCCTTCAAGATGGTATTGGTGTGGGTCACGACACCTCTCCCCTCTTTACTATGTTCTATGCCATTTTCATCCATTTTCAATGGCTCCGACAACTCTTTAAGTATCTTTAAATTAAGGTTTAGCAATTAGATACCTCCAGATATCTCCAGAGTAAAAGTGTTGAAACCTTGTGCGCCTGAGCATCAACGAACCAAATTGGCTCTTTCTGTTGTGTCTGAGACATCCCCATGTGACCTACTTGAACCAATCTTAGAATGTGCATTTCAGACTCCAGAGACAATGCTGAAACATGGACTGACCAGTGTTGGGATGACCATCCTACCAAACACATAGGGATGAATCTGTGGGCGCTTCGGCGCTTGGGTGTCCGCTTCATTTGGGAACTTCGTGGCGCGGACCGCTCACCGCTCCCAGGTCAGAGGGGGCCTCGCGGTCCAAGCGGCGCCAGGTGTCGGAGGAGCCGTGGTCCAAGCACTGAGGGCTGCTCCCCGGTCCATGCGGATCACGTAAGATCCCATTTTTCCATCGCGGGGAGGTGGAAAACAGGTGTCAGCAAGGAAACAGGTTGAAGAAGGCTTTTACTATTTGACAATTTTTGACCGTTCAACTTTCCAGGGAAACTGACAGTCAGGGAGTCAGGATCGGACCAGGAAATACATAATCTTATTCTATCTTATCTAAAGACTTAAACTTGATGCATATATATATATATACATATACACTCTGTAGATCTCTGTAGTATGTTCTACAGATGATTGTATATGGGGCTTTTCAAAATGACAAAAGTATCATATTCTGTGGATATGATGGCATATTTGCTTGTAAAGGCTGATGTGATATCGTCAACTTGGTGGATCTTGGTGGATAAGACATTTCCATCTTAAATGGATGCATTTTCTTTGTTGTATATAGCCTGGATGCTTTGCTTTCAAATGGGTCCCATGGGTAAATATGCATTTCATCCGTTCCCAACAGCTCTCAAGTTTGCTGCAATGAGCCTGAGCATACCATCTGTTGGGAACTGGCACCTCCTTGCCGGTTCAAAAAGGAATACAGGGTGCATCCGCTAAACATCGACACCCGCAGAACATTCTTGAACCATCCTGATTGTGGCCGGAAGGATCGATGTCTTAACGCGACAGCTATCAGCTCTATCCCTACGGTGGATAAGAACGTTTGGGCACTGCTGGATGTTCCCGGCATTTGTTTCTTGCTACTAGATTTTCTCCATTTAGAAAGACATAAACAGGATGCAGATAAATAATGAGAACTAGGCAACTAGGCATCTCATAGTTTTAACCCACTCAATTTGCCAAACTTCTTAGGTCTGTAGGCAACCGACTCCAGTTCCTCACAACTATTTGTGTTTATTTTGTTTATATACTGTATTTATTCCCTCTCTCTCTGACATACACAAGTCCTCAACAGGACCTATTTCTAGAAAGCCTTCTAACACTCCTGCCATCAAGGCACTTCCTCCCATGTGTTCCGCTCAGGTCAGGGCACACCTCTTACTCGCCAAGGAACAGCCCGAGCAACAGGCTGATGAGATGGGTCAAAACTGCCAATGCTTGGGATACTATTTGTTCTTGTTGCCACTGCAGTGGAAGTCGTGTTGCTCCTCCTACAGCTTTTTGGTGGAAATCAACTTTCTGTCGGTGGACCATGATTTGACCCCATAGGGCTTTTTGCGATGAAGGGACACCCAACATATATATATATATATTTATTTTTTGGGTGTCAGACCGACAGTCCAGTGCCTCAACCTGACTCGCGGTTAAGTCGCAAGGTCAACTAGACCCTGCTACCACGGCAGCACGGTGAACACATCTGAAACTGGGGGCCTGTTGCCAGGGCCGGTGGATTGCCGTTGAGATGAGTCATTTCTTCGTCAGTCTTACCGACAGTGTCCCGCCTGTGGCTGTGAACAGAGGGGTCTTCATTCGGTCTTGAGTCTTGAGTCTTGAATGGGTTCTTGATGTTCTTGTATCACATTCGGAAACAGTTGAGCAATGTACACCGCCTCGCAACGCTGGGACGGTGAAACTTCTGCAGGCAAAATAATCGGACTACATTAGAATCAGTTCACACCCCCATTATTTTGTCAATAGATTCTATCAAGTGAGAATATCAATATGCACACAGCATGATTTAGCGCCCGCAAATTCGTCCTAATCACTTCTACAGTGATATGATGATGGAAAAATACACCCTAGATATTACCAGGGTTTTTGTGGCAGCACCAAGGATTTGTGATCATCGTTTGCGTGGGAATACAAGATTTCAAGAGTATTCTGTTTTTGGCAAGCACGCAGCTCACGCAGGGAACTCCGAAGCGTCCCTGACACCTCACACCCTTTCAGTGTGGGGCAGCTGTTCCTCTGCCATCATCATCACCACATATCACTTCACCACATATCATCATCATCATCATCATCACCATCATCATCATCATCATCATCAGCAGCAGCAGCAGCAGCAGCAGCATCACCATCACCATCACCATCACCATCACCATCACCATCACCATCACCATCATCATCATCATCATCATCATCATCACTATCATCATCATCATCATCATCATCATCATCATCATCATCATCATCATCTTGATCTTCTTCTTCTTCTTCTCCTTCTCCTTCTCCTTCTCCTCCTCCTCTCCTCCTCCTCCTCCTCTTGAACACTCGGACGGTCGAGTCCAAATGCACGTGCCACACCCTTGAGTGGATTCACTGTTGGGATCGGATAGCGGCACACTCACTCCGCAGCGGCTGCAAGGAACAGAGTGGCCGCGGCTGCCGGAGGGGGTGTGCACACAGCAGGCGTCAACAGCGCAGGCTCCCATGCCCTAGCAGCGGTCTAATTACGCCAAGGCCAAGGCAGTTGGTCCAAAATGATCAGGAGGAGCCGACTCACGTGGTGCTAGTGGGCGTAGGTACCCGGACAGCGATGTCAAAGCCAGGCTGAACTGAGATCAGTGGAGGGCAATCATTAGTCTTTGCCATCCAAAAGAGCATCCCTTGACTGGCCATGCCTGCCACCGGAGAACCAAGTGCTTGACTTGCCAATGACTCAGCTAATACCTTGTCGAAAGTCAGGCCCTCACATGAGTCCGTAAGCAACTTTGCTCGTGGATTGAGTGGTCAGATCCTACCACCCCTGTCCTTTTAGATTGCTGGCCAGTGCTTTGAGATTGCTGGCCAGTGCTGTCGCTCTCTTTGACTGCCACAATCGTGGTCCTGAGTTGGGTGAGAGCACACCCTCATGACTACCACTACCTCAGAGGTTTGGTGCAATCTGGGATCAGGTTCTACCAGGGTGTGGAGAGAATGCCTCTACCCACCCCACAAACAGAGTGGTCATCGGCGCTAGGAGTTGAACCAATTTGCTGTCCTTCTTTTGCGTCTCTCGTCGCCTTTGCCACAAGGATTGCCCCCTTGTCCAGATTCTTCCCACCGGTTTTTGGGTTTGGGATATTTGGCCGTCAGGGTCTCGGGATGCTCCTCTGTTGGCTTGTTTTTGGAGGAGGGTTGAACATCGCTCCACATCAGCATGGCACCATCGTCCATAGAATATTCAGAACAACCATGAAGAATATGCAGCTGAGTCCAGAGACTGCATTGGATGGTCACAGAGCACAGATCCCGCGAAATGGTTTCAACGCCGTGCAAACGACATGGAGTGGCATGGTCTACCTCAATCATCATCATCATCACCACCACCTCTGGATTCGTGGGCCAACATCTGAGGAAAAAAGGACCTATGGTTGGAAATGGAAGCATGGATTCAACCTGAAAAATGCCGGAAATACCGTGCTCCATTCAGATCCAGGTCAGTGAAAGAGGACCATTCAGCTATGCCTAGTTTTTACACCGGCACTATCAGCATGATCAGGAGATGCTCAGCCAGTTTGTGGAGTAGATAGTCACTGTCAGGGGTTGGCTTGCACTTCCCTAATGCTCTCATTATGGGTTCCACTGTCATTGAAATCCTTTTTACCAGCAACTGTTGGAAGAACCTGTTCCATCTTCAGGTCCATGGAGAGGCTGGACTCACCGCGACAGGACTCGAAAATCTCTCGGAGGAGACGCCGCTGGCGGTAGAAGGTGTGCTTTTGACGACCCTTCGGTCCTGGTATGTATATAATAAAGGGTTTCCAACTATGTCCAAGACATGTGGAAGTGGATTGACGTTGTTCTTATTTGATCTTATTTGTGCAACTTTATAATTGGGCCACACAAATAGGGAGGGGTCCTTATAATTCATGTGTTCACATTGCGTACAACTTGGAGGTTGGAGACCAATAGATACTTACAGGAAGTGGAACCACATGTCTGCAACAAGTGGAATGAGAAAACACAAAAATCCGCCGATTCCCTAAGAAAAGTCCCCAGATTCTGGCCATACGACATGATGCCCAAACTGCAGCTGCATTTTGCAGCAAGTCCGCTGTGGTAGTAAACTAGTGGAGTGAATTCGTGAATTTGAACGCAAAGATCATTTTGTGGCGCATGTTATGGTTGTAAGGAACTCCTTGCTGCTAGTCGACAACACACAAAGTTGGCACAAAATCAGCAGGGGTTCGTCATGCACATCTGATGCACTTCTGGCTAAAGAATTACAACGTGACATATCCCACAACACTTGTCGTTGTGATTGTTTCCGGATGTCAATGCCAGTGTTGCAAAGTAGTTGGAAAGACCTCTGGACTGGGACCTTTCTTTGTCGTAGGACTCGGATAACAACGTCCTTCCTCTGGGAAGGCGTCGGGGTTTCACCACTGGGGTTCACCTCGGAGTTTTGAGTGACTTGGTGGATTTGCAGGGTTTCAATCACACGGCTTGGATGCCATGTGTGATTCGGATGGCACGGAACATGTGCACATATGACTCTTGACAGTCCGGCATGTTGCGAGTTGTGGAGGTTGGGACAGGTTCTGTTTTCATTTGTTTTCCACCTGGGAATGACGAATTCTTGCACGCAGACTGCCAAGTTTGCCTCACCTGTTTTTCACTCTGCAGGAGGAGTGTGACCTTGAGTGCCAAGTTCCTGAAACAAAGGTCAAACCTTCAATTCCAGAGCAGCGAGCACCACGGCCAAGAGAAACTGCAGTATGTATGTTGGGAACGGTGGACGCGGGGTGAGTCTTCAACAGTTGTTTGGAGGCTTCATGGCGGATCAACCATCTTGCAGTCTTCCATTCCCCTAGTGACACCAGTCGTGCCCGCTGGGCATGAAGAAGTGAGCACTGTTGGAAGTAGAAACCTGGGAAAGGCAAAGACTTGGACGCTGCCAGGTTGGTCAAAGGATGGTGAAACACTGGAACCCCCACTGAATGGCACACTGACGCAGTGGGCAGTGAAGACTCTTCCTGCTTCTCGGAGACACACCGTGACACACCCACATTATCCCACATTTGAGTTTAGCAAAGCCAAATACCCCTTGGACAAAGGTACTACGTAGGTACTTTTTCAGATTCTGTTTGTAAGTAACAAATTGAAGTCTTCACATCAGATCTGGGGACTCCGGGTCGCTGAGGATGTCCAACCCCTCAAGCTGTTTTGAACAGGTTCCGGTGACCGTGAGATCCTCAGATCCGGCTCCATCATCACCTGAGGCATGACTTGTCCGCGAAAGCTCGCTTCCAAAGCTGTACAGCTCGTGCCGCGCATGCATTTGCTGGGGGTGTCTGGGTATTGAGATCCTGTTTCAGCCCGTGGTCCTTACTCAATTAAGTAGGCGCCTACTCACTTAAGTAGGGTACTGGACGCAGGATAGCTCACGCTTCTTCAAGGCAGCTCCTCCCGCGTGAGGGCGGGGGAGCTTCCTTGAAGACGTGCTCGCACTATTCATTTGGTTCCTAGATGTGTTTTGCAAGAGGAATTTGGTCATTCCAGCAGTCGCCGCATGCTGTCACACTGGACTGAAACAGAATCGAAAACCGATCGAGTCACCCCGTGTCATTTGCAAAAAAGAATTCATGTCGGGTCAGAAGTGAGTTAGTTCTTGGAAGGCAACTGCCCGCAAACCTATCCCATTGAATGATACTGCGAACACACGGAAAACACCGACTTGCGCGCGCGAACTTCTGTGCCACACCTTCCGCTCACTGACGCTCGTTCTTTCCGGAGCCTGGGAATCCGAGCCTGGATTACACGTTTGTGATCGTCAGTGAGGCCGACCCTTAATGATTCTTTAGCGTGACTAGCTGCACCTGATCTTTTGTTGGAGAATGTTGGAGACATCATGTGGACTTACAAGGATGCTACTAGGGGCTCCTGGCATCGCTACTAGGAGCAAGGACGCTACTAGGGACTAAACACTGAGGCCTCAGAGTCTCAGAGGGGTGCTTTGTTGATGGTCGAAACATGTTGAAACTCTCGACAACGGCTGCAGTTGTGAAAGGCCATGACATCAATGTTTGTTTTAAACATGTATGTCATGGCATTGGACAACTGCGGTCCAGGCAAGCTTTGAAGAAGACTCACGCATGGTGACATGCGCAAGCCCTGCATGGCATCAGCTTTGCAGATTTGAGTTCCGCTTGGATCAGACCGTGCAGCGGCCTTTAAATTGATCAGATCTTCTTGGGACCGTTTAATTTAGACGGCCTCCTGTCTGAAGCCTGCGCCATGAGGCGCTGGTGGTGTTTCCCGGGGAGATGCTGGTGGCCCACAGACTCGAGAGTGGATCGGAGATGCTTTGCTGGACTTCCATAGCTTCTAGCAATCAGTCGCGTCTCCCACATGCCTACACTGGATAGGGGGTTCAAATCATTGGCAGCTTCTTGTGCAGCTGCGCTTGAGCCGTGTGGGCATTGCGGAGGTGCAAGGCCCATTGGACACCGAGGTTGTACAGTTTCTGGCAGAGCTAGGTGACTTCATCAACGGATTGTTGCAGGAAGTTGGGCAAATCAAGTCAAGTGACTTGGGGCCAGCGAAGCGAACCATGCTGCTTGTTCTGGGCTTGGCTGAAGATGGCTGGCAGCTCTCAGAATTGAATTCTAAGGCGGTTGGTGTGCCGCTTCACTTGATCCTTTGCTATGACTAGGCTGTGGCTATTGTGTGACCGCCAAGAGCCCCACGTTTTTCAGCCAAAATGAGTTTCATCAACGGCAGGTTGTGCTTGTGGCTTGCATGTCGGGCTGAAGCACTGGCTGTTCTGCACCACTCGTGGCGCAATCCCTCAGAAGGCCCAAGACCTGGTCTACCAGCTGCCTCAAAGTTTGTGAGGGGCGCTGAGCTACAGAGATCTCGAGAGGCACAGATTTTAAAGAAGGGTCTCGCTAGTGGTGAAGCGCAGTTGGGTGTGCAATTCTTGTGCACAGGGTTTCAACCTTCAACCACATTGATGCCAGCTGAGTATCTTTTGTCATCTTTTGTCTAGAGTCAGTGTCGAACGTCACCCTTGCGACCGTAAGCCAACAACTATGTGGTTGTTTGCCTACGTTTGTCAAATTGATCGTCCGCTCAATTTGTACTTCTTGAGCATGCACACATCTCAGCTCTGTCCTTCTCAAATGCCTTCACCAATGAGGCACAGCATACCACATCCAGTCAGCTTAGTGGTGTATACTGAAACTGGAAAACTACGTGTCCTTCCCCAGGAATCGTACCCAGACTGACGTCCGTCGATATACAACAGACGTGGACCGTCCGACGTCCACACGGTCCACACGTCGGACGCCTAAAAACGCCCCATGCGAAGTGTCAGGTTTCCTCAAGAGCACCTACGTGTCGAACTTCATGATCGTCACTGGGCTCGAGAGAGCAATCCAATGGAATCCCAAGCAGAATATATATGAGATACGGAGCATGATACAATATACTGTAGATTGGAACCATGGTTGTGGCTTGATTCCTCGGCTAATTCACCTTCTGCTGCTTTTGAGCTCCAAAAAAAGAAAGGTACATCGGACAACTGGTGTATCGTGAGACATGTCCTCCCATGTGGCCCGCCTGAGATACTGGAGGGTTCCTACGATCGTGTTGGTTTCTTCGGGTGCTATTGAGCTTAGATGACCCAAAAACATTTCCAAACAATCAGTTTCTGGGTAGTTGTTTCAGATATTTGTATTTTCATGCAAGCTTTATTTGGGATGATTGAACCCACTGACTAAACTTGTTCAAACCACCAACCAGGTTTCTTGGCAGGATAGAGACCCCCGACCGTCTCCGAAGGTCGTGTGTATTGACCCCTGGCCACACCATTGGTCACGTAAATGACCACTGACTCGTTTGCCGGGGCTTCCAAACACCCATTTGTAACTACTTTGGATTGACCTAGATTTGACTCATGGATTGAGTGTATCAATTTTTAAACATACATATTTATAATCTATATATTTTATTTTCTTTTGAAGGAGCAGGCCTTATGCCACAGCCACGGATAGAACATGATAGAACCTACCTTTGCCTTCATGGAAGTTCAGTGCTGATTCTCTGGCCCGGAGCTCATGCAAAGGTGGTGGTCCTTTTCGATGCCTATTGCACCTGCCGGGACATTGATGCACGCGCTGCGGAGGTACCGACACCACAGGTCCCTTGGCTGAAGAAACTGCATTCATTGGCGTGTTGGGCAACCCAATATATAGACGTTGGCCGGGTCATTTGTGCCAAGGGGCCAAAGCAGGTGTTGTTTTTCCATTGTTTTTTCCACTAGATACACACACGATCTTCAACCATGGAAATCTGCAAGGAGATCGGTGTGAACATGATCTTTAAATTCCGAATATCCTTAGATATCCTAATTAGTATCCTTCAATCTTCAGTATTTTGCACATGGTTTCCTTAATTGTATCTTTCCTCTGTGCACTGTCCAGGTCTTGATCGTTCTGTCCGACGTGTGCTTGCTGCTGTACACGCTGGAGTTTTTCATGAACCTTATAGTGAAAGGACAGCCGCATGCAACTCCGACCCAGTGCGATCGGCGTTTGAGCGTGATGAACGTCCAGTGGACATGTGATGTGCATTCCAACATCCAAGACGCCCACCGATTTCATTAATTTTAAGCTTTCTACTTTGAGGACTCAATCACAGTATGTGTCTTTTTTCATATTTTTGTCAATATTTCCACACCTGCACGGTGCATGAGTTTAGGTCTTGAGAGCTCCTTGTTGTGGCGTCCACTTGGTTCCTCTCACTTACTCCGCAGGAAGCACCATTTTCCGTGACTGGACCTTGATGCTTGATGCCCCTTGGTGCAGTTGACCAAAGTGACCAAAGCACAGTGCGTGTATGCAAAGGAAAACTGTTGTTCTGTGATCAGAAGTCGGTAGTTGGTTATATTATACCCTTCACCCAAAGCAGTCCCACGTTGTTCCAGTTCACCTTTTTTCTTGGTGGCTTAGTCATTTCCCACCAACAGTCAGCAACAGCACGGGGGGATGTGTCATGCGAACTCATGAGTATCTCGTGCTGGGTGGCCACTAGTAGGTGCCCTCTCTCTGTTGCGATTGCAAGTGTGTGTTCTGTGTTGATCTGGAGATCGGAATCCTCCCATTTGTGTGGAGTCGACTCCTCCTTTTTGTCGATCAAAAGGAGTGGAGTACCTCCATTTGTCTTGATCTGGAGATCGGAATCTGTTAGGGATCAAAAGGAGTGGATCCATCCAACTCTTTCAGGTCGTGATCATTGTGTGTGGCTATGCCGACTTCTTGTTGACGCTTGACACATGCGATCTCAGTCACCTCGGGACGGCCAAGTGGCGACATGTGGAAGTTAGAGCCGGTGGTTACTCCAGAATGCTTGTCACAAGTCCGAAAGCTAGCTTTCTGGCACCCACGAATTGATAGCAAAGATGGCAGCCAACTGAGACACTTTCAAACTAGTACTTGTCCTTTTGAATCATGTCCTGATGTCCACCAGAAGTGGGCAACCAGTTCCTCTAAGCTGTACTCCACACTTCCAAAGAGGGAGCAACGGCGGTTTCCTGTGGCCATTCGTGGCGTCAGCTGCGGATATTTGTCACACCTTCATATTGTCTACACTGTAATCAGCATTAACTCTTTGGACGTGTTTGTTCCTAGTAGCGTCCTTGCTCCCAGTAGTGATGCCAGGAGCCCCTAGTAGCATCCTTGCTCCTAGTAGTGATGCCAGGAGCCCCTAGTAGCGTCCTTGCTCCTAGTAGTGATGCCAGGAGCCCCTAGTAGCATCCTTGCTCCTGGTAGTGATGCCAGGAGCCCCTAGTAGCGTCCTTGCCCCTAGTAGTGATGCCAGGAGCCCCTAGTAGCGTCCTTGCTCCTAGTAGTGATGCCAGGAGCCCCTAGTAGCGTCCTTGCTCCTAGTAGTGATGCCAGGAGCCCCTAGTAGCGTCCTTGCTCCTAGTAGTGATACCAGGAGCCCCTAGTAGCGTCCTTGCTCCTTTGCTCCTAGTAGTGATACCAGGAGCCCCTAGTAGCGTCCTTGCTCCTAGTAGTAGGCCAGGAGCCCCTAGTAGCATCCTTGCTCGTTGGTGTTTTTACTTCAAGATGTGGGTGAGATACAACCGGTTCCCTCCCCTTTGTTGTTTTGTGGACGGGAAGAACTTAAGCCCCTTGCAGTGCGGGTGCTCCTGTTGTAAGAGCCGAGGAACTTGGTGGCAAATAGCGACTTTGTATCTTGGTAAAACTTGAGGTGTGTACCATTTGAAGGTAATATGCATCCTCCATTTCTGAGGGTATGATAGAAGAGGGATGATTCTAATATATGTATATATATATACAATACAGCCACGGCTGATGTCGTCCACGACTGATATCGTCCACGATTTCTATTTCATAGCGGCTCATCTCGTGTAAATTATATATTCGGAGTTGGTTGTAGGGAACCGCTGTTGATTTGAAAGCAAGCCACGGTGGCAGGCTGAAATACTTCACCACTTTGACCCACCACTGCTCATGGACCTAATGATCGATTCAGTGACAGAGAGTTTGCACGACGGGTTGAAGCATCAATTGAGTGTGTATCATGGGTAGTCAATTCCGCAACCCGCCAACCAGTGGTGGAGAAACGGACGTTCGTGGTTCGGCAGACCTCTTGCATCTTGCAGGGTTGACACGTCCTAAGTATAGATAGAAACATGGAACGCTAAAACAAGGTTTGCCCACCTGGCTGTGGCAAACAAACCCCAGGACGAAACAACGCACATGACAGTATTCTTTTTTGGTGTTGGATAGGCTAAACTAAGTGCTAAACTACTGTATGACCCAGTATCAGTTCAAAGAAGAAAGGCCGTTCGAGTGCCTCATCCACATCATTCTTAAATTTGCAGCTTATCCTTGAAGCTAGCGAGGTCGCTTTTCCCGCTCTCCACTGCAAAAGGGTTTCACACTTCACGCCCTGCTTTCATGATTACATATGAATATTGAATGAAACGTAGGGAGTCTAGCATGAAAACAATTCAAACAGTGAGTGTGTCAAACACGTGGGAGTTGATGAACATCATTAAAACAAAACCCTCCTGGTTTCTTCCTCCCTCTCTCTCTCTCTAAATGTGCCCACACATCTCCGCCGTCAGGTCGTTCGCATAGGCATGTTTCGGGCCTTCCGCCTGGCGCGGATCGCTGCCTGGCAGAAGGTTTCGGGAGATGGGCAATCACTGTTATCATCTGTTATCGGGTTGATCAATGTTTAGCGATGTTGAGTGACTGTTTAATCCATCTATCAACAGCCAGGGTATGTGAACCACTAAATTACCTACATTTGATACCCCTATACATCCCCTATACATAATCTGTAATACCTTTTACCTTTACCTTCACGTACTGGAGATGTTCATCCGACAAGTCCAGGTTTTTTTGGCGGTAAGGCTGCAATCCACATGCTTGCTCAACAAATTAGTAGACTGCAGGGACTACATACAGATATCAGATATCAGTGTTTTTTTCCTTGTCAAAGTCGGTTTCCTATTGTCCTCTCAACCTACAAATGTAGATCGCCGTAGATCATGCTTCATGTCATTGCCTAAAAGAAACATGAAGAAGCCCTTCCGCCCTTCCACCCCCTTGAGCCCGTCCGCTAAAGAATCCATCGCCCCTCATCGCATTCTGCTTGGCTCCCTTATCGCTATTCCTCCGCCCCAGCACCGCCTACCCTCCTCGGGCGCACCACCCCACTCGGCCAACAACGAGGTTCGCTTGATGCGGCTCCTGCGGAGGACTCGGGCTTTGCGGGAGCTGCAGAAGTTAGTCACTATGATGGCCACCTGCCACCCGGACGTGAATCAGTAGACGGATGTTGGGTCGAAGAACCACACCAGGTGCAGATGTCGTGGGTCTGGTGTGTAGGGTCGCTGTTGAGGTGTGTGTTCCATGGGATGGCTTGGTGGTCCTTTCAGGAGCCGTGGCCTTTTGGTGTGTGGGGTCGGGGGCTGTGAGAGGGCGCTTCAGGCCCGATCGGCCTTGCGGAAAGGACGGGAACGACTTAGGTCAATCGTTTGTTGTATGGACGTTGTGGAATGTTGCTGTGCACGCCGAAAAAGGCAAACAGGATTTCTGTGTGAAGATATAACTTGACTTCCTTTCACTGTATTTGGGGACCGGCTAGATTTGTAAGGTGCCTAGTTGGATGGACCATATTGAATGAGATTCTTGGGATTCAGAACGACCTCTACCTTCACTTGTCAAAAGTGAAACTGCTGGGTTGTGCGGTTGTGCAGTTTTAAGGCATGAAAGCGCTGCTTTGGTCCTTTGTGTTTTGCTTCTTGATCATGAGTGTCTCGGCGCCAAGAGATCTGTGCTAAGGGATCCAAAGTTCAGACAATCACACGTTTGGTATGTTTGTTGGCAATGCAGGAAGACTTTTCTACATAGGGTTGGTTTCTTTGACCTGTTTCATCATCATTCCGCGATCTGTGCTGGGTCGCTGCTGTAGTGGAGGGTCATTCCCCACTATTCACTTGTAACCCACGTAGTCACTATATATATATACTATATACAGTATATATTTATTACTTATATATATATGTATTAATCTATTCATTGTCATAGCTTAACCATCAGTTGCTGTGTGTATAGTTATCCCAGACATTACATTTAGTGACCACTAACCCATATTTTGTCAGATTTGTGGTACACCTCGTTGTTGCTTTATTTTTGGTACCGAATTCACCGAGAGGATCAATTCCTCTATCGGACTCTATCCCTTCAGTGCTGGCGTTTCTCCCTACGTCCTTTTTTCTCCAACCACCGACATGTGGAGCCACGGTTCGTCGGCTTCGTGAGGTGTTTGGGCAATGTTCATTGTGGAGGCGTGGGACGCGGGAGTCGAAGAATGTTGTGAAGGTCGTTGAACCTTCGGGAGGAGTTATATACCTCTCAAACCCTAAATCAGACCATTGCAGACCACACTAAGACTGTTTGTTTGCTGATGTTGAAGAACATGTTGTTTTCAGTTTGACAGCCGCCATCAGCCGCCAGTTTTTCGCGGGGTTTGTATCAAGACATTTGGGGTTGAGAGACCAGGGGTAGTGGATTCAAAGAACCTCTTTGCCACATGAAACAATCAAAAAGCCTAGTGCAATCTTATGCATTCCCAGAAATCTGACGAGACCCGAACAACTGCTCTATTTGCACAAGGAAGCTTCGTGTCATTATGTGTGTTCAAAGTATTGGAGTTGAGTGCATTTCCCATGAAACCAATCAGATCTGAACATTCCTTTCTGTGGATTCCACAACCTTCACCTCAGTGGCTTGATTAGTAATAGTAAGGATTCGGTGGAAAGTTCAATCCCTTTAGTGCTGGTTTGCTTCGCAGGTCGTTCATCCCTTGATTCAAGACAAAGAGAACCCTATCCTCCTCAACTTCTTTTTGGAGGAGGACAGCAGCCGTTGCCAGGTTGCTCGCGGGGAACGGGCGTTTGAGAGCAAAGTTTGACAGGCACACAGCGAAGCATCAAAGCAGACATCTGAGTTTCATTTTCATTTGTTCTATTTTATCGTTTTTTGGGAACTCCGGTATGTTCCAGCAACCCGGTAGAACCTGGTTCAGCAGTGACAGACTAGACTAGATAAGTCTTGCAATTGTTCAAGAAGCTGGAATTCCACGCCGGCCTGGAGGATTGCGACTACTGCTTGAGGGCCACGGGATCTGTGATGGAAGCCAACTTGCTGTTGTTCAAGACCGCCACTGGGCTGCTGTTGTGGGCCCAAACTGACCAAATGGATCCAAATGGATAATACAATTCTTTGTCCAGTATCCCGAACTGACAGCTGTTATGTTATCTGTCCCAAACAACCGATGCATGTTAACGTGGACCAGGTGTTTAGTACCCACCCGATGGGACCCATAGAGTCGGGCAGAGGTGAACCCAATGGGCTCAATGGGCTCAGCTTCAAAGACCTTGGCTGCGAAGAAGGTCTTTTCAAGTTGACTGTGCTTGGCTGACCGAATGGAACTAGATAGCACCAACAGAAAGTGTCAAGCAATGAGAAGTGGTCATAATAGACTGTTTATGAAACATTCTGTTTCATGGGGCGTCCCTTTGGCCTCGTTTGCCTTCATGCCGTCACTAGAATTTGGCAGAACATCTTAAGGATTGTTGCTGCTTTTAGTTCTTGTTGTTGAACTGCTGCGGGGGGGACCACTAGACTGGTCTACAGTAATGGTAATTGTAATTAGATTCTAATTACTTTTAATTGCTTCTTGTTTCTACTAGCAAACATTGCTCCTAGTAGTAAGGCCAGGAGTCCCTAGTAGCGTTCTTGTTCCTAGTAGCGATGCCCTTGAGGTGATTGCGGGCGACAGCTGGGGCGAGCTTGCGGTGCCGGTGATTCAGAGGTTCGCTTCTCCGGTGCTGGAGTGTTTCTCCGGTGATCGGCCAGAGATCTGAAACGTTTGGCACGTTTGGAAGACTGAAACAGACGGTGTGGAAAGTTCCACTTTCCCTACTATATTGAGTGTGGGATTGAGTGGTGGCAGTGAAAGCACCTATATACTCTATTTTGTGAGACACGCACCCTTCTGAAGAGAGCACAGAGGAAGTCCACATAGAAGACTCGGACTTTGATGGACTTCGTGATATCTCCTTGACTTTTTGGCCAAATGCCTAAATTACAAATCCACCAGGTATACTTGGCCTCCCGCAACCCTGGACTGCAGCCTTTCCGAGTTGCCTACAAACGTGGAATCATCGTTATATCATATAAGATATAATGTTCTACAGCTCAATCCTAGACAGCTACGGTTGATGGAATAACTTTTGCACCACCGAGAAGGCACATCCATCGCCTCTGGTGCTACCGTTTTGCACCTCTTTTGCACCCCACGGACCAGCGGCGCTACCCACGGACCGCCGGTGACCGGCGCGATGAAACCGCCGGTGACTCCGAGATATCCGGCGACGGCCATCATCTTCGTGGGATCCAACGTCACTTTGGCACCTCGGAGCGGCAGGGCCTTTTCTTTGGGCAAACCGGTGGGTTCAGGGGGGGGGGAGTGCCGGTGGTTTCCCCGCAAGGCGGGGTTTTTGCGGAGGAAGGAGGTTGAGAAATTCAAGTGCTCGTGAGTCCAAAGAAAAAACTATATCAGGATATCTCAGGTGACTTCGAGGGAAGCGGCTTGTAGGTAGTGGAAGCTCTAGCGCTGGGATTCTTTTGGTAACAAGAACGCACATGGATTCGAGAAACACACATGGATGGTGTATATATATATATATAGATGGACTCATCCCATACAACTTGCTTCCCAGAACCAGCACCATCACCACCGGGGTGCTGATATTGTATTGATGGTATTTGATGAACGGTTTGTGATTCCCAGTTCACAAGTTTATGCATTATATGATATGTTTGACTCATTTTAGCTCCATGATTCTCAACTAATCCGGTGGGTGAGGGACACCTGCTCTGTGCAAGTGACCGGCATCACACTAGTTTTTCCTTCGTCAGTCTATAGCTTCATATTTCTACCCCCAATTTCTACCTGCAAAAAGTATAGAGATCTCCTCCAGCCAGGGTTAGGGTTTGACAGTGCCAGCCACCGTCTGTGTTTGGGTCCAACCACTGGGATTTGCCGCCTGCGATGTGACGACTAGGTCTTTGGGGTCTTGAACTTGATCGCTGCTTGGACGAGGAGGGTAGTTTTGCCGCGATTTGGGGCAGATGTTGCAGTTGCTAACGAGAATGGCAAATCACAAGATCATACAAGATCCACGGAATATGAAACAGTTCAACCTACCATGGGTGACGCAACACACACACACACATAGGCACATATATACATATCACATAGCATGTATCAGACCCAACCGAACTTTTAGTGCTGGTTGCGGTCTTCTCAAAGGCACGGATATAAAGCCCTCACTATACGCCCCTTGCGTGAAAAAAATTGGTGATTGTACCCTTCGTGGCTTGCCAGCTGATATCCGTCAGATTCAGACAGAAGAGAATTGGGAAGAGGCCGAGGCCTGTAGTCCTTGGCTTTATACAGGTAGAGAGTTCTACTTTGCAGTCAGCTTTCCAATTGCGTACCGACCAGACACTTTCCATTCGACCATGTAGAAGAACGAAGTGCGTTCCAACCCAGACTCCCAACGAACCCAGCAAAAGGCCAGAAGGCACCACTTTTGTCAACGAAATGACCCGCAGAACACCCAACGGATATCCCATGATACCCCCCCATGAGCTTCTCTTTCTGCCCACCGCCGAGGACCCCAAAACAAGACCCCCCAGGATGTATGATTATATAAACGAAGACGAGCACACAAACTTCAACGAAGCAACGAGGACACACTTCAAACAGCCCAACCACCCTTGGGAAACCCACCCCGGCGAGCCCCGACACCGGGAAGAACCCGCCGGAAGACCAAAGGCAACATGGTTTTTCTTTGGCAAAGTATTTTTTTCTGGGCAAAACAATTCAGATACCGAAAAGGATCCGAATGGAACGTTTGAGAACAGAGACAAACTGTCCTGCAGAGATCTGGCAAGCCATGATATGGAAAGGTCGCTCATGAGCTGATGACTCCGACCACCACGCAGACGAGACGTGCAACTTCCGTTTTTTGCTGTTGATGGCAACACAGACATCAACAGCAAGGGTGCAGACCAGGGGGCGGATCACAACAGGTCGGCGGGATCAAACTTGGATGTTGAGCTCCTCGAGACTCCTTGATGGCTTCAGGCTCTCATGATCAAAGCTTTCATCACACAGACCTATCTTGGTTGGCTATCAGGTGTGAACCTAGTCAGTTCAGGCTGGAGCAGGCTTGGTTGCATGGCTGGCCTGGGAGAATCTTGGGGCGACGGCGCGGTTGCATTCCTGGCAGTTCTTCCTTGTGGTGCGCAGGGTCCTGGTCGTTGGCACAGAACGCTCACTTCGCAGGTTGTCTCCAGAAAACAGGTGGGAAACATGTTCTGGGGTTGATTAGGAAGTTGCAACGAAGGTTTGACCAGCATGATGCACGGGAAACAAGCTGCCGTTGCACTACACCTGGCTTTGTAATTACCCGGCGTATCCACATGAAAGTGAAAAGGAGCTGTGAGCGCTTCGGACCTTGAAAGCTTGAAACTGACTGTGAGAGGTTTGTGAATAACCTGGAAACTGCTGGAAATCCCCATGGCACCTGAGGTCGCCGTTGTAGTCGACACTTTTGCGGAGGCGGACTGGACGGCTGATTTTTCACAGGTTTGGACGGTTCACTTCATAAGATGGAGACGGGACTGGACTAAACCAAAATATGTGACCACCAAAGCACTCTTGATTCAGTGTGGTTGTTGTGTTTAGGTACGTGGCTGGCATGTGGCCCAGGCTACATTTTCTTGACCAAAGGGCTCAACATAGGCTAGCTTCCTCCAACATGGGAAGATCGGGAAGATGAAACCAGGTAAATTCTTTGACTGAATTCACAATCAAAATCCTCGAGCACCAGAAATACTGTACCAAGAAGGTTTGGTTCTATATAAATAACCACTGACCAGACGAAATAGCTAATCAAGATCAACATGCGAACCAAACAGAACTATACTGTACTGTAATTGCTTCGAACAATCAAACCAACGACAGCCTGTAGACTACAGCCATCGAAACGTTGTGTTTGGAAAAGGCACATAACTGCCAACAATATTGACAAAGTCCTGAGAACAACACAGATTTCATACCAGAAAACAAGTTATATCAAGTTATAATTGCCAAGAAAGAAATCCATAAACAGATAAGTCCCCAAAAAATGCGATTCCAAAGGAAGGTTGTGATTCCAATGCAACTTATGTTTCCAACGTTTATGACTCGCCAGAAGGTAAAGATTCCTCAAAAGCCGTAAAGTCGGCGTAGGCATGCGTAGGCTATAGTTTGGAGGAAAACACACTTAAGGCTGGCAAGAGCAGTATCAGTTGACGAAGTCCCACTTTACTGCAGGTAGACCTTTCCACGCAATTAGACCTTGACTTGAATCAACTGCAGGAAATGCTGGGTCGGCTCAACAGAAGGTTTAACACAAGTGCACTAGCCCTTTAAAGGAGGTTAAAATATTTGGCAGGTACTTGGAACTGGCGTCCCATTTCCATATCCTCGGATACATCGCCAGCTTCGTTGACCAGGCGACGATGTATCCTGCCTGGTCCCCTGTGGCGTTCCTTTGGAACAGGTGTTGACACACACACACATATGTACAGCCACCAAAGGCAGTTTGACTGCAAGAAAGGGCCATAGTTCAACAATCACCGATGACTGCAACAACTTTCCGATTCTGAAAAATGTTTTTTACTGCTCAAGAACCATAAGCGCCAAAGACAGTCCTATTCCAAAAAACATCAAAAGCAGTTCCGAAGACACATCCATACTTCAAAAATTTACTTGTATGATTGTAGAACGAGTTATGCTTCCTATACAAGAGAAGCATAACTTGTGTTTGTTTTGAGAATATGTTCATTGCACGATTCAAGCATTGGGTTTTTTGAAGGTTTGTGCATGCTGCAGGTTCCAACTTAGCATGACATATATCAAACAAGTAAACAGTTTGCATGTTTGCATTTTCATGTCTATTTTTTGTTTGCGTGGCTTGCAAGATGTTTGATCTACGTATGTGTTTCTTTATTATGATAGGCAGGACATGTTCCAAAAATGCAGTTGTTGTCAAAGCCATTTCGTTTCTTCCAGAATTTGTTATATATGATTGTTGTCTCTTTGGGGATCAACACAGTTTGGGGAATCTCAACTTATCCGGTGAAAAGCCTCTTTTTTGGATTTGTTGTTTGTGTTTTTTTCTTCCTTTTTGGCTTCACAACTCTTGTATAGAATCGCATGTTTTATTCAACATTTTAAGAACTTAATTGTGGCAGGGCAACTTATGCGGGAAACAACTCTTTTTTGTGGACCTTAATGTTTTTACAGCTGTGGTTTCAGTTTTGTTCCCAACGGGTGAAGATGTTTGGGGGAAACCTTTTCATCGAAGCCGGGCATCATGGATTTGAGAGACTGAGAGCAGAAGAGGGACGATGTTAAGTTCCGTGTGTAATCAAGTCAAGAACCCACGTTCTGTTTTAACGCAAACTCACAGGCCGTCACTTGTGAACTTTGACAGGCGAGACAGAGGGATATCTTGAACTTGGCGGAAGAATTGGAGTACGATTTCGCTTCTTGGATTGTTGCATGGGTGAATTGCACGCGCTACCCCCTATTCCGCCTCATTTCAATGTTGACAGGTTTCTGAACGAGGTTGGCCCGAGTGGATGAACCAAATCAAAACCCTGGCACCTGACTTTCCTTTTTAGAACAATGAAGTCGGGGTGCAGGGTCCATCTTCTGTAGTGCGCCAGAACTCTTTGATCCTGAGGAAAAGGACAGGAAGTTCCTGAAAGGTGTCTTCGACCGGATGGATATGGATGGAAGTGGACTGGTCACCTTTGAGGACTGCGAAACAACCCGGACGTGACAGCTGCGGTAGATGATTGTGACCCCTCGCAACTCAAAAAGGATACAATGTGATGAAACAACAGTTTGTTGTTGATACTAGTGTTGATACGGATCAAAACGGTGAACCAATTTGAACATGTGTTGGATTCATTTTCAATCATAACCATGGTTGTGAAATGTTGTGAACCACTAATTATACAGAACCATGTGTCACCAACTTCAAAATACAACAGCAGAAATCATACAGGGAATGGTCCAGTGATTGTTGCGTGTTTAGTTTGTACCGACACACGAATGTTGGGAGACATCCAACAGCGTTCGCACACAGTGTGGAATCGTGTGCGACAGTTGTTCTCGGTTTGCATACCATTTGAACAACAACTGGCAATTCCTTTAAGTGATTCTGTTCAGTCGAGAGCTACAGCAAATTGGAGTCGATGTTGATGCTTCAAGTTGCATGAGCTGAGAAGGTGCTGTGTGATGCCAATTGCCTGCTTGGTATTGTACAACAAACCAATATCACACAATCCTTCGCCATCCGGTCGGTATGGTCTTTCCAAAAGCTGGGGTCCCCTTCCACGCTGAGGGGTCGAGAAACCAACGACTCTCCAGTTTACTAGTGTAATCTCTGGAGGGTCCATAGGTCCATAGGTTCCTAGGCCTTGCCACATGTTGCTACTGTAGACCACTCAGTCTGGTCGGCTGTTCCAATCGTCCCATTGGCAGCGCTGTCCCATTCATGATTTCATGACCTCGCTGTTTGGGCTCAGAGCTCGCCGATGAAGGGAAGAGACATCGCTCCGGAAGATGAAGACATCGCAGGGGCTGCTCTCCCCGTCGGTTTGAAGGAAGAGGAGGACGACATGTGGCCCTTTTGGCGCACGCGCGGGTTTGGACCACAACCCCATTTTTGTTGATTCCGCCGGGGTTCAATCCAATGCAACTTTTGTGTCTACTCATTTTGCGGCAAAGAGAAGGCCTGCAAGTGGGGTAGGGGCCAGATGCAGAGGAATTGCGCTGTTCACAGAATAACTATATAATCAATTACAATTACAATCAAACCCTTGCAACAAAAAGAACGTGTTTTCATCTCCCTGGTTTCATATTGTTTGATTAGCGCAAATATTGAAGCTACTCGTCCGTGATGCAGCACGCTCGAAGGAGCTCGTGTTTGAGGCCCGGTTTCTGGACAAGAGTGGGGAGAACGACGAGAACATCGTCGTTGAGAACGAAAGCCCCGAGAGTCCAGAGAAACCGGAGGAAGTGAGAGCAGAGAATGTTCCGTATGAGAAGTGCCGATGGGACTTCTTCCTGAGTCTCCTGGCTTGGAAGCTGGCAACTGGGTTTTTGTTGGTTTCGTGTTCCAAAGTCAATCATGGAAGGAGTTCAGCACGTGTGCATCATGCAAGTGATTGATCAGTCCCTCATCCTTTTCAAAAACTTTTTCCCAGCGGTGTGCAACTGGTCTTTTCCTGCTTGGCTGCCCCCTTGCGAAAGGGCCATTTTGAGCACAGTCGTCGTGGTGGGTCAAACACTAGCCTCAAAGGCTCACCGTTTCACCACGTGGAAAGCTACTGTTTGCTGACCCCTGAGTTTGGTCGTTCAGGCGATTTGGTCATGTCATTCTCGAACTGCACCTGTGGGCTAGAAGTTAGCCCCACTTGTGTTCAACATGCCGGTGGTTTTCGGACATTTTGATACCTCAGCCTCTAAGATTCTCTAAGAAGTCTGACTTGTGTGTGTTGCAGGATTTGAAAGGACCACAAAGTACGCAAAGTACTCAGTGTTTGACAAAAACAAGAAAGGAGGCAACTGAATTCACCTGAAGATTTGAACAGAACCCACTGGACAATTGTTGCAGGCTTAATGAGTAAGCACGACAGGAGGGGAACAATTGCTCCACTTTTTGGGGTGTAGAGCTTTCGGGGATTCACGAGATGACCTTCACTGACCAGAGTTAAAAGAGCAGCGGAGGCAGAGTGACTGAAGACGTAGATGGTACTGATTCCGACATTTTTAGTACCATAATTTTTGAGCTCCAAAAAGCGTACGACTAAATGGACAGTAGTAGTGCGAGGCCGCCACGGAATGCAACTTGGACAGTGTATATATATATATAGGTATTTTCTTGTTTGTGCATGCACAGAGCTACTGTATATGGACTGCCACATGTGTACGTGAATGTGCATCCATTTCGTTACATATCATTGCATGGAGCTAGAGGATTTTGGTTTAGTATCTGAGTGGAGTCCATGCCCATGGAGTCCTTTATTGGACACCCCAGTGTGGGCCTCCTGAGCCCAAGCGACCGCTGCACGGGCACCGGAGGCCACAAACAATCCAATGCCCAAGACGCGGTGCAGAACCTACGTTTGGCGCTTTCAGAACACTTTCTGGGTGCATCCTTCTGGCTGGATATCGAGCAGGACGCCACAGTTAGTCCTTACTTGGATCTTTTTGGTATTCACCAAATTTATGCAGTAGTAGCCGCTTGCATGGTGCTGGGTTTCATCTCAATTCTATTCAATATTCTGAACGTGAGTATAGTATTCCCAAAAGACCATTTGCAGAACTAGTTGAAGCACTTTCCAAACTAGCACAAGACTGCACAAGAGACGGTACATCCGCACCTATGCAATATGTGTATAACTAATATATATATATATAGTGCATGTGCAAAAGTCATGAACAATTATATATATATATTCAGAGCGCCTTATTCAAGGCCTTACCGCCCCAGAAAGAAGCTTTGCTTGCGTTCCATTTTGCAGGACCCGACGGTGAGGGGCATGTGCTATGGGGTCTCCCATTCGCGCAATGTCCTGATCTTCCTCACAGAAGGGATCACTGACAGCAAGTTCTGCCGAATGGAGATGCGGTGGGCATTGGAGGCGACCAGTACCAGTTGGTACAATCAAATTTCCAGTTTGCCGTCCCAGAAGACGTCAAAACTGGGACATGAAGAGATCCCTAGAAACATCTCTGACTTGTATACTGCGGCAGACTGTGCAGAGATTCCAAGGCTTTTCGTTTTGGGATTCAGTCAAATGAAATGAAGTCATTTGGTTTAAGTGAATTGACCGGTTGGTTCTTGCCAGAAGTGAGACTATATTGAATGGTGGAGTTGCATGCTTTTAAAATGTGTATATGTAAGATTGATGTTTAATTACTATTCACTCATGAAATATGAAACACCTGTACTTAACACAATAGCTTTGTTGCCAAGCAGTTTCCTTTGCCTGCAGCAAGCTGCTGAAAGTTGCCAGTTGCCTCAACCTTTTCAACTGTCCGACTAGACTGTTTGGCTACATTCACCATCATTTGCCTGGGTTTGGACGGAGGCCAACCGAAACTTGATTTTAGTCAAAGAGACAGATGACCGTCATGGAAAGCCCAACATGGAGACGCTGATTGAGAGGCTTCCCGGCTGATGTGGGCTCGTCAGTCGTTTGGAAGCGAGACATATAGGGAATAATAATGGCCTCCAACCTAATTGTAATGGCCTCCAACCTACTAGTGATGGCCTCCACCTATTTGGGGACCTTTGCTGAAAGCCATGAAGAGTTTTTGTTCGTGATAGTGGCAGGAGACCCATCAAATGCATGCTCCGTCACGGACTGGATGTTCTTTCAACGTCCGTTTGTAATCACCCTCCCAAAAACAAAGGATCATGTGTGAACCTGAGTACAACCACAGGTTGGACCAGACAGTGGCAGGTCCAAGCCAGACTGCGTTTCAGTGTTGCGCCAGCCTCGTCAGATTGGTGAAGCAACGCACTCTTTCCACTACTTCTAAGTCTGGTCCTGAAGTCTACTTCATATTTTTTGTTGGTGATGTGTCTTAAGTCTACGTGATGTCGTGAAGACACATCCCAGCATCTATACTGGCCAAGAATAGCCAAGACCCACGACGACCCAGGTGCCCGGACGACTTGAAGCATATTTTTTCTGAGACACTTGGCCTGTCAGAGGTGGACAACGTTATGATTACCGTTATGGAAAACGGTGGTCATGATCTTCCCAATTGTTGGTGCGGAACTAAGGAAAACATAACAAAGATGCAAGAGAAAAGCATCGCTGAGAGAGTATTTCTTTGTAGCAATTGCAAAACTATCAAAAACAGTAGTGAGCTATCATCATCATCCTGATCATCGTTTTATTCATCATCATCATCATCACCATCATCAAAACTCATCACTTGTCACTGTAAACAGGCAAAGCCCAAGGTGTGAACCATGTGAACCATCACTAAGTGCCCAAACAGGGTTACCCCAAGTCTTGCAACTTCATGGACATGGTGCCCGAAGTGCAACTGCCACATTCAGTCAGCTTCTCTACCACATTCAGCCGCTGCACCTCTGCTTTTTGGGTGGTGTCTTCCAACCCACACGTGGACAGCTCGTCTTCGTTCCCTCGCGTCCCCACGTGGTCAGGAATGTCATCATCCCCTGGTTCCGGGACCCTGAGTTCCGTGCGGTGAGCGTGGAAAAGATCCTGCAGCGCATCGCCGTGGACCCGCGCCGCACCGAGTCCACCGGGCGGCGGTCAGCCAAACCTTTGGTGCCACTTGGGTCTTAAAGACTGGGGGAGAGTGGAGATCAAGCAAGAGTACCACAACTTATAGGATTGGATGGGTTCAATATGGTTCAACGCCTTCAGACAACCAAAAAGATACGGTAGTTACCAACCAAAAATCCTGCCCCGCTTGTTTCAGCAACCAAACAGATACGGTATTTCTTGGTCCAACGCCTTTAGACTTTCAGATGGCAGTTGCATGAAATTGAACACATTCTTATTAAAGCCGGTGCTAGTGCTAGTCCTTTGTGACGTGCATTGCACCAACAAGAGGTTCTTATATACATATTATTATCTATTGCACAGATAATTAGTGGTTCTGAAACACGTACTGCGTGGTACTGGCTGCTTGCTACATATTGTTTGACTCCGCGGCTGCTGAGGTATGGGAAAGGCGGGGAAGGAGAGGACGCGGAGGTCT